TGTTGGTGAGTGCTGCCAGAGCAGGTTCCCAGGGAACTTTTTTCTCCTTTGGATAGCTTGCCCTGTGAACAGGCTGGTATGCACGCAAGAAAGCCAGTCAGTGAAGATGTCAATTGAGGAATCAATGGATGAGAGAGAGGTTGAGGGGGCGAAGAAATGGGAATGAATGTAGCTGGTAAATAGTAGAGAGGTACCTGGGGAGTCAGATGTTAAGTAGGTTATAATGTGTTATGAATCCAATATCTATATTTAGTCCATGGTTTTTTGTATCCAGTAGGTTGATGGAGTGAAGTTCGTAAGCTTGTCTGTGAAAAGCGTTTTGTAAATTCCCTATGGAGATTAGAACTGACAGATTGGAGAGAAAGTGTGTTTTTTTTGTGAGAAATGTGCCCCCACAGGTAATTGGGTATTCTTGTCTTTGATAGATTTCTGGTGTGCATTCATTCTGGTATGCAGCTGTTGTTTGGGCTCTCCTGCATATTTTCCATGAGGTCATTTGGTGCATTGGATGAGATATATTACATTTCTGGAGGTCCAGGAATGCTGATGGTTCTGTTGTGGGATGTAGTAATTGTGGAGGTGGTGGAGATATGTGGCAGGTTTCCTTGCAAACCTCATCACCAGAAGCAAACTTCCTATGGCCCAAAACACACCAAATGTATCCAGATCATGCCATATCAAGAAATGTAAAACCTGCCAACATATTTCCACCACCCCCACAATTACTACACCCCACAACAGAACCATCAGCATTCCTGGATCTTATACCAGCATTCCTGGATTATCAGTACACTACCGTCCATTAACAAAGTTCAGCTCTGTGGCCAATTTATACTAGCTATTTGGTGCCCAACTGAAGAGTCTCCCAATTGCCCTAGAAACCAGAGAAGTGAAAAAAACAACATATTCCTGGTAGAAGTTAATAGCAGGTCTTTGTAAAATATTATTAATTTATACAAGAAAAAATATGTACTGGCTATACTGTGAGCATAAAGGAGTACAGAGAGCCTGTATTTGAGAATTTGTTCTAAAAGTGTATTGAGCCTATTTTAAGTGCTGTTCAGGAAAAATATATACTAAGATAGCTCATGTTACCTCTGTAATTTAATTTAAATCAACTGGTATTCACTTCCTGCCCTAATCTCTCATAAAGGTTGTCTGGTTTCTGGTAAACCACATGCTAGCCACAGCCAACCCCAGAAGTACTGTACTTACTTGCATACCACATGCATCTTTCCCCGCAAAATTAGTCCTACAAATTTGGGGTGCATGTCTTAAACAAGAAAGCCAATTTTTCTGTCCAGGATAGAAGCATAGAGATGCTGTAATGGCTGCTGCTTCTCTTCTTTCTATCCCTGCTGGTGAGCCAGATGGAAGGAGAGGTGGAAGGAGACTTTGGAAGCAACTACAGTATTAACCCTTTCACAGCTCCTG